AATTCTTCCTCAGTGGAAATTTTTATGCGGCTACTACATATTAGGAAGCCTAATGTTTATGGTTCCATCAAGAGTCCAAACATTCTTCATGCCGAAACGTCGGCGTGCCTTCTTATATGTACTCTGTCTCATTTTAGTGAGAAACTCCGATACTGTGTATGGTGTATTCTTTAATTTTGCCTTAGATCTCCAGACTACAGATTTAGTATCATAACTTTGCAAATGAACAAGTACAGCTCTTGTCCGATCACTGCCCGGAGCTCCCTGACAGTGCTTCAAGGAAGAGTTGCTTATATGTGAAAGGCCCAATTTATTATGAACAATTGCAAGAACCTCCTGTTCTACATTTAACCCAGACTCTTCAGGAATACCATTAAAAAGTCGCCTACCCCTTTGTCGCGTATCTATTTCATCAACTGCATTAGTACACCTCCGAAATTGTTGCTGCAGCAAACTAAACATGTTGCTCACTAAGTCTTTAAAAGCATAAAATTCCTCACTTAGCTGAAGCAAGGTTGGATTTGATAGGACTAAAGCAGCTTTTAAGCGTTTCTCAAACTCTGACATCTTTTGCATCCAATCAATTTCAAGTTTTTTCTGCACCAGATCAACCTTGGTGACATTTGCCATCATGCGTTAATCACTTTAAATGTATAAATATAGTTATTCGCTTGTAAGCTAAATGGAGCTGTAGGGTGATGCAAGTAAGTTCTTAAATCTTCTTTAAACACATATGTTTATAATAACAATGTAAACAAAAATGTGTTAAGTCACTGATTTGAAAGTAATTGAAATTAAATTAGTTATAAAACTATTTTTATTTGAATAAATAAAACCGAGCTAACAAATCAACTGTTGACACACCTCCTTATTTATATATTTATTTAACCTTTATTGAACGATATAAAAGAGTACAGAAAATGGACTTAATGATATTGTTACGAGCTTGAGGTTCTTGACAATAAAAACTACCGATTGAATTACCGAAATTAACACTTTAATTCACTTTACACTAATTAAAATTTAAAACACTAATAACTAATCACACTGATTCACTTTATTTCGCTCCGAAGCTTCGCTTGTCTCGCCAAATTCAATACTTTCCCCGCTCGAATCTTGCAGCGCCTTTAAATACGCATTACACCGAAACATCCAGAATATTCAAGTAAATACGCGCGCCAATCGACTAAGCGCCGAAAGTTCGAGTGTCGGGCTTCTAGAAGCTTAGTTCTTTGTTTCGATACTAGATGGCGCTGTCTGTTGAAAGATTAGTGATGTCATTTTCTGGAAAGCTCTCCCCCGCTCCGTTACTCGACACAGATGGCGCTAGTGCCAGACGTCAACTTAGGCGCGCAACACTGCCCCTCCTAAGACATGCACGTCCCGAGCATTATCGGCCCCATAATAACGCGCCAGGGGATCCACATGGACGATCTTAGGAGTCCCTCTTGCGCCTTTTTGTATCCGGTAGGTTACATCGTTGATCCTGGTTACAATCCGGTACGGGCCGTCCCATTTAGCTTGAAGCTTAGGAGATTTCCCTTTGCTGCGGACTGGATTGTGCAACCACACTAGTGAACCTTCGTCGAATCCTTTGTTGTTCATTTTGCGGTCATACCGGGTTTTCATCTTTTCGGACATTTGCTGGCCCGATTGTCTGACGTGCTCATAAATGTCATTCATTTTGTTCCGCAAGTCATTTGCATAATCGGTTATACTGCGTGGGGCATCAGGTGGTATCCCGGTGATCAGGTCTGCAGGCAGCCGTAATTCTCTTCCAAAGTTTGCGAAAGCTGGTGTCACTGCTGTACTTTCGTGAACAGCGCTTCGATATGACAACAAAAACGGTTGTATGTGCTTGTCCCAATCTCGTTGCCGATTGTCTACAACTTTTGCCAGGTGCCTCTAAAATGTCTGATTAAATCGTTCTACCATTCCATCACATTGCGGGTGATAAGAAGTCGTTCTTGTTTTATGAGTACCCATAATTCGACAAGTTTCCTGGAATATTTGAGACTCAAAATTCCTTCCTTGATCGCTTTGAATCTCTAAAGGTACTCCAAAACGACAGAAGAATTCATGAACTAGTTTATCTGCAACTGTTGAAGCTTCTTGATTCGGAATGGCGAAGACTTCTGGCCACTTAGTGAAGTAATCCATCACAACCATGAAATACTTGTTACCGCTTTCACTCTCCGGAAATGGCCCCGCCACGTCAATGGCTATTCTCTCCCATGGTGCACCAACATTGTACAACTTCAATGCACCTCTACTACGAGTCTGAGGTCCCTTTACAGCCGCACAACTTGTATATTTGCGACACCAGTCCTCGACATCGTTTCGACAGTGGACCCAGTAAAACCGTTCTCGGATCTTCAGTAGAGTTCGTTTAACTCCTAGATAGCCTCCTGAACAATCATTATGGTACAGCTGTAGAACATCCGGTACTCTAGCTTTAGGGACAACCATTTGCAAATGACAGCTGTCTCCTGGACCATTGTCCCGTTTACGGCACAGGACTCCATCCTGAAGCAGCAAGCTGTCCCATTGGGCCCAATAGCTTTTCGTGGTTGAACTCATCGCTGAGACGTCGCTCCACTTAGGCTTGGTAGCACGGGGCTTCATCCATTCCAGAATCGGCTTGATGTACGGATCTTCCTGCTGTGCATGTCGTAGGCTCTCCTTCCACTCGTTGCTGAGGTGGTCTGTCCTGAGCATCCTCACGGATACCACTTCCTTACTCTCTTGCCTAGTACAATGTTTCCAATCTTTAGGACAAGGTCTTCTTGACAATGCATCAGCGTTTCCATGAAATTTACCGCTGCGATGTCTGATAGTAAAGTCGTATCCCGGCTGCTGCTGGGCGGTGATGTTAGCCGCACTTCCCTTCTGAGATCGATCAACTTCCCTTTCTACAGTTCACTTAGGGCAGCTAGATCGAAGATGGCCCCTTTCCCCACAGCCATAGCACCTAGGGCTGTATCTTTTATTGCGGTCGCGAACCGTAGCTGCTGCGACCTACCTGACGCGATGGGAGCGAAGATCCTGCCGCACGGCTTCCACCTCCAGTGCATGAGCCAAGGCGTCCTTAAGCGTGTCGTGGTGCCCGAGCCTCACAGCAGCTCTGACTTCCAGTTCGCGGATGCAGTCGATGAATGTCTGCACCAGGTTCCCTTCAATGAACGCAGGTACAGACCGGTATGCTTTTCGCACCAGCTTCTCAACCTCTAGAGCCCACTGCTGCAGGTTTTCGTTGATGCGCTGCACGCGATCTTTAAGCTGTGCACGAAAGACGTGTTCCAGGTGAGCGTCGCCATATCTCGCCTCCAATGCCTCAAGGAGTTGCTCATAAGTCACTTCCTCACCGAGAGCTTCCAGAACAGTTAAGGCCTGGTCGCGCAGGCCTAGTGTGAGAGCAGTCATGGCCTGACTTTTATTCCAGCCGTTCGCCTTCATAACAGCCTCGAACTGGATTTGATAGGCTGACCAGGAAGAAGTCCCGTCGAACGGTGGTACCTTGAACCCACGTAGCGAAGGTGTAGTAGCTACTATGGGAGCTGTAGTTCCATCCCCAACTTTGAGTTCGTCTAGTGATTTCTTCATGTCAGCCATTACGTTGTCAACCCGATTGTTCACTTAGTCGATTTGGGTTTTAGCTTCCTTGATTTGGGTTTCAGCTTCCGACAGGCGGTTGTCATGTTGAGCAACCCTATCCTTCACCTCCCTTATCTCTTTCCCAAAGGTAGCGTGAAGGTCCTTCATGAGGAGCATCTGCTCTTCCGACCGACGAGCCTGTTCCGCCTGCTGATCTTCCACACTGACGGGCCTGTTCCTCCTGTCCGCATGGCTCCTGCAGCTGCTCTTCCAGCCGACGGACCTGTTCCTCCCGTCGGCGGGCCTGTTCCTCCTGTCCGCGCTGTAGCTGCTCTTCCAACCGACGAACCTGCTCCTGCAGTATCACCGTCAGAGCACCTAAGTCAGGTGCTGCAGATGCAGGAGCTATTGACGGACCGGCCTCCACGGTCGGCGGCTGGCCCACCGACGTCTGAAGCTTTGCACCATCAAACCGTCTCTAGTCCGTCTCCAGCTGGCGTTGACTTCGGGTACGGACACCCTCCGTTTCTTCCTTAGGTAAAATCGGCATAAATTTACCCCACTTCTGACACCAATTGCTACGAGCTTGAGGTTCGTGACAAAAAAACTGCCGATTGAATTACCGAAATTAACACTTTAATTCACTTTACACTAATTAAAATTTAAAACACTAATAACTAATCACACTGATTCACTTTATTTCGCTCCGAAGCTTCGCTTGTCTCGCCAAATTCAATACTTCCCCGCTCGCATCTTGCAGCGCCTTTAAATACACATTATCACCGAAACATCCAGAATATTCAAGTAAATACGCGCGCCAATCGACTAGGCGCCGAAAGTTCGAGTGTCGGGCTTCTAGAAGTTTAGTTCTTCGTTTTGATACTAGATGGCGCCGTCGATTGAAAGATTAGTGATGTCATTTTCTGGAAAACTATCCTCGCTCCGTTACTTGACACAGATGGCGCTAGTGCCAGACAACAACTTAGGCGCGAAACAATATATTATGCATTCTATGCCAGTCAACATAAGGACAGTGACAACACTGCGAAGGCGGCTACAGAGAACATAAGGTTTGTGCTCATCAGTTCCATGTATCAAGGCACATATTAGTTACATAGTATTAGTATATGCCGTTTTGGGTATTTTTCGCCTGATATAAACGTGATACCAATAACGCCATCTATGATCTATTGAGCCATGAGATCTTTCCAGCATATTGCTAGTCGTCTCTTACGATACTATCGGGACGAAATAGGTAGAAAAATTCTCTAACTTACGTCACAATGAAATCTTCTTGAACCAAACTAATTTAACGTTTAAGTTTTAAATGCTTTATAGCACCCGTGGTCACAGTGCGAGAGTATTCACGAAAACTTTACTTACTATTAACAAATCTTGGGACTTACCATAGGGCGCAGTAATCCTAGTTTGGACTCGCACACTCGGTCCAGATCAGGGTCTAGCCCCCAGGCGTGCAGTAGAGACATTAGAATTTGTGCTATCTCCATGGTATGTGGTGGCTCCGCCAGCGACATGTCGCGAGGACGGTTACGCTTATTCTGGTTAAGTTCATCTGAAACAAAAGAACTGATTTTTATTGCTTGTGCATATTGTGTGTGCTTTATTTTAGATTTCGTTATCATTCGCATTAAAATTCGCGGTATTGCAATAAAAATATAAAAATATAAAACAAAAGTCTGTCATTACAACAGCCTTGTCCGCAGTAACTTAGAGTACTGTAGCATTGTATGGCGTCCACATTATTCTACATACAACTTAAGACTGGAGCGTGTTCAGAAAAGATTCATGTGGCATCTATCATACTCAGCGAAGATTAACAAAACGGTGGTGTCCTATAAAGAAAAGGCTAAAATACTTTAATATCATGACTCTTGACCAAAGAAGAGATTTGTTAGATTTAATGTTTTTATACAAATTACTAAGTAATAAGTTAGACTGCCCCAGTTTACTAAATAAAATTAATTTTACTTAGTAAACTGGGGCACGCAGATATCCGCGTACTGCTATTACTCCAGTCATGCCTCCACGCACCAGGACGGTCTTCGGCGCCAACTCCACAATCCCTCGTTTATGTAAAATATATAATAATTTCAGCCATTTAATTGACATCAACATTAATTTGCCTAACACCTTTCGTAAATTAGTTATCAACAGCCTAGTCAGCCAGTCATCATGAGTGTGATTTTTTTCTCATATTAATTATTACTTATATATTTTCTTTTAAATTCTAATAATATATATTTAGTTGGGCTAGATTATGATAGTTGTTAAATTAAGTTGTAATTTTAATTGAAAGGCTAATTATTAGTTTGATTAAATCTCTTTTGTTGTTTAAATTGATAAGGTTTTATAGGCTTTTACCAAAATTACTACTGTGTTTTTTTTGTTGGTTTCTGATTTTGTTTTCTTTTTCTGTGATAACATTTCAGATTTATACACTAATACTAGCAAAAATAGCATGTAGTGTTTACCTTTAAATGATTTTACATACTCTGTGCAAGTAATATAGTAAAAAGACGCACAGGATCCCCCCCACAAAAAAAAATGAGAAAAAAAAAAAAAAGGCACAAATTATACTTTAAGAAATGTATGTAACGTATGTATTGTAAAATCGCTGGTAGACCCAATAAATAAATAAAAATAAAACGTATAATAAGGATACTAAAAGGGTTTTGCTTAACTTAAGGACTTCCGCAAAGCAAACGCAGTATTATATAGTTATTAGGTACTATTAACATAGTATTTTGACGTTGGTCGTTGTTAGTTGCAGCGCGAATGGGTCGTTTCTATCGACGAAGAACCACGCAATCACAGAAAACAAGCATAAAATAGCGGTTATGTCCTTCAGACCAAATTTCAGTCGCGGATGTCGCGGATGTGTGCGGTGTCCGGATTATAGGTCCCGAATCTAAGTGCACTCTATTCCCTCTCATAGTTCGATGGGACGGCAAACCGGAGAGAGATCTAACGGTGGTTTCCGAGGCACGGGGGTGAAACCATTTCCAGATTCCGGGCCGCTACTGGGAATTTCGTGACACAAAAACCCTGAACCTGATTTTGACCTGACCTGGGACTTCATGATTAACTACCGCGTTTTCGAACACTAGATCAACGAGGAAGTCTAGGTTATTTATTAACATGTTAAAAATAAACATTTTAAAAATATTTGTCCGTCGTCTTTCAGTCTGTCTGTGTGTCCGGCCGTCTGTCTAATAGATTGTAATGAAACCTCGCGAACAGGTGGAGAGTAATTCCACAAGTGATTTTAGCTATATTTTACTTGGTAGAGCCATGCTGCAGTTATATTAGTAGTATAGTGGTAATACGAATGGGTCGGCTCGACCGGGGAAGGACCACGCTCTCACAGAATACCAGCGTAAAATAGCAGCTTAACGCTACTGTGTTTCTTATGGTGAGTGTACAGAACCGGAGACCCATTTTGCTGGAAACGAGGCATTCCATCTTAGTCCTCAAGGGTGACAACACATCTGCATTTTGATTCGTATTTGAGGACAGATGTAGATGTCTATTGGCCACAGCAACAACTTACGATCAGGTTGACTGTGTGCTTGTTTGTCCCTCTCATTTTATTTAAAAAAATATGCACTAAGATATACACTAAAATATACGTTGCTTATCTTTTTCATTAAATCGATAAAAGTAGTGGACTACTCGGTAGTGAAATGGCTAAGTTTCGACCGTTGCGTATCGTAGGTTTGTTTTCCATACGGAACAAATATTTTGTATGCTTTTAAAGACTTTATATAGGATGTATCACACTTTGACTTAAACATAGGTATACATTTAAATTAATGATGCGAAAAAAATCACAAAATGTTATTTCTTACTCATTTTATGTCAGTTTGGTGATTCATTTACTTAACTACTGGTGCAAAATATTTGATCTCGATGACATGTTTTGGAGTTGTAATGTAAATAAAAATAGTCGTATTCCAACCAAACTGTAATTATCCTTGCGATACGACGCAAAAGCAGCAGGTAATTATCGTATTAAAGTGCGATTAAAGTTAAAATTAATAATTTAAAAATTAATGTAAGTATTTAATATGTATAAATGATATCAATAATTAATACAAGTATCTTGTTTTGTTTATGGCCGAATTTAATATTAGGTAAATAACGTCGATTTCCTGCCTACTATAAGCCATTTTAAACGGCAAATAATTTTGTTATGAAAAAGTTGTGCTTTATTTTTAATAATTATCTATTTGCATATTACTTATTCTTCCTACAGTGGTATAGCCATGTACAGTGGAAAAACGTGAGATGAAATGCAAATTATTAAAAAAGGATTTTATTAGCATATCAAAATATGTCAAACCCAAATTTCACAGATTTTTAACGGGGCTAATTCCGTGTTCATGTGGTGGGTTTAGACAGAAATTTCCAAGGTGTGGTTTTCTGTAGAATAAGAGTGTCAAAGCACAAAGTTCACCCGATGTTAAGAAGATGCTGTAGCCAATAGACATCTACATCTATCCGCGATAAAAAATCAAAATGCATATGCGTTGTCACCCCTGAGGATCAAGACGGAATGCCTCGTTTCCATTAAAAAGGTTCTCTACACTCACCATACAAAACACACCTTAAGTAGCTATTTTACGCTGGTATTCTGTAATGGCGGTGTAATTGTCCTTACCCGATCGAGCCGACTTCTTGTGCCGTGCTACAACAATAAAATAGCAGCAGCGTGGCTCTTCCAAGTGTAAAATGTATGCCGGATGACAGAAACACAAAAGGTGTTTTATTTAGCATTGTATAAAAAAGACGATGAATATCATATCACATTACTCATGCGGTTGTTTTGGTGAAGTATGCGGTGTTGTCACGGTAATTTTATCTATACAGTATTCCAACTTCATACAAACGGACGAAGCGAGACAGTGTTGCCGTTTTAGCGACTTTCTCGCTAGATCTAGCGGATTTTAACAATGTTTAGCGAATAAAAAAATCGTTTTAGCGAGAAATAATTATTTTGCGACTTCTAGCGACTTTTGGACTTTTGAGATGGCGACTTTTTATAAAGTAATTCATTTCAAATGTCATTTATCATATGTCCAATTTTGTAATCTACCGTTGGTAACACTATATAATATAATTTCACGAGAATTCCCGAACATAAACTAACAATTCAATATCGTTCATTCACTTTCTTCTGTTTCGTCCTTAGACCATGGTCTAAGGTTTCGACATACAAAAATGCAGCAGGAGTAAACATATTCGAAGACTTATGTAATTTTGCAATAGTAATATTATCATTACCGCACTCAAATGCAGAATTTAAATGCATATTTGGTTCTATGAATGTAGTTAAAAGCAAACTGTGAGACAAGCTATCAGAAAAAACATTAAATTCCATTCTTCTGATTAGAAATCAGTTAAGAATTTAAAAAAGAATTGCGCAACGTATGATATTCCCGAAGATGTTGTCGACCAAGTCGGTAAAGGCAAACCAAATATGGGAACTGGAGACATTGGCGAAGCTTCAACTTCCGCTGAAGTTATTTTTGAAGATTTGGATCCATACTTCGCTATTAATTTTGAAATTTAGGTATAACAACGTTGCTAAGCTAATTGTTTTATTTTTAATAAGATGACTAATGTTTAAACGTGGTTTAAAGAGATTAATTTTTTTACAATATTTTTTTATTTTGTACATGAATAATTTTTGTTTTGGTTGTCATGTCATTAACCTACACTATATATAACTTATTTATATGAAATAGAGTCCGTTCTTTTTAAGGTTTTTCTAAATTTATAGCTTTAGATTTTCGGTATTCATTGTATACCATTTGGCAAGATTTTTCAGTTAGCCCAATGGTACCACGAAAATGTACCTAGGGACATCTAGCGGATTTTAAGAAAAAGAAAAATCCTGTTTCTGGCGGATTTTTTCTGTTAGTCTAGGGACTTTAAAATTTGTAGAACGGCAACCCTGAAGCGAGAGCTATGCCTACGCGCCTCGATCTCGTGTCGTCGGTCGTGACTGTGCCGCAGTGATGATTTTGTGGAATATATAAAAAAATGGAGGAAATAAATAATAGAATAGAAATAAAGAAATAATAAATCCGAACTTCATTTAAACCAAACATATAAATTGTAAAGTAGCTGCAGGTATCTATAACCAAGTAAAAGATATTCCTTTTCTCCACCTTGTCCATGTTTCCCAAAACAATTTTTAATTAAGCTTTATATTAGAATGCGGATTTTTTATACTTAAAAATTTAATAATAAAATCTCAGCCGAGGCGCAAATATTTTTCGGTCGCAAATTTATAAGACGATTTGTTATTCAAACATAAACATGGTTTTTTAATTAAATCTACCCATCAAAAAACGACACGCATTTTTATTGAACACTTCCTATTCAATTCACAAAGTACCTATTATATTTGTTTATATAAAAAAGTATATTTACAATCATAAAACTAAATAGAAACACAAAGTACCCAAATGTAAAAATGCTGGAGGCGGGCTGCCTCCAGCAGTTTTAGATTTGGCTATCGCATGTTACGTGCATATCGCATGTTTACGTACCGCACGGCTGTAGGCATTTATTTCAAAGATACGGCCGAGTTACAATACTGTATAGATAATATATT